TTCAGTAAAGTGCCTCACAGGAAAGCTAAGAGGTCATGTACATATTCACTTGCTGGCTCGGCTAGCTGGAACATTTCCTTGATTGTATAGTGCGAGACCTACTTACGTCAATTATTTTCTTTCGGGGTTGTACAGCGTTTCCTATTTTATTGTTGTTCACTAATATATATATATATATAAATTTACTAGAAATTCTGTTTACAGATTAAAAATTATGCAACCCTTCTTTTTCTCCTTTTGCCTCCTGCTCGGACAATTCCGTCGCTATTATCTAGTGTATTCACTGATGTATTATAAAGCCATATAAAATCTGCGTGCTCTAGAGATCCCGTCTTCATGGAGGAAGAATACCTATTGCTTTCGGAAAAAATCAACCAACAATTTTCTAACAAAATTAGGAAAGACATGGAAACCCAAAGAAAGCATAAGAAGAAACAAGAAACACGACGAATTATGAATAGTACCATCTCAAACGGAACCAAAAGATCAGCGTGTAGCTGTAAATTAATCCCCAAAATCGATAGTTCTGTAAGTGTTCGAAATTGGATGCTGACCACATGAAGGCACTTGGTCATGCATCCGTACCAGATCACGTTTCAGAACGGCGTGCGCAACATCTCCTGCGATCATTAACCAGATTAGATCAGTCACTTCTCGATATATTGATAACCCATCAAATATATCCTCCAACCTCCTCACTTCTGACTTTTGATTTTACTGGGTGGTCGCGATTCCATTATAGAAGTTGTTACTGGTAAAGTGTTGTCAAACTACAATACCTGTGGTATTTTCAAGCGGAATGCACACCTGGAGGGATAAAGAAGAATAAATTACAATACTGTGTACGTAGAGAGATTCTCATACAAAAGATTCAACAAAACGTTCTCACTGAAATTCTGACAGCAGCGTACTATCCTTAGAACATGAACAAACATAGATGGACAATGTCTGTTTACAGTACTGGTAATGTTACTGGAATTTAGTATCTCCCTCACTAGCGAACAATGACCATGTAATGTACTTTGAGTTTCAGGCACAAATTACAGTGCGTATCCGCCCATCAAGTCTCGGTATCTGGCATGATATTGTTCCATCAATAAGAGATTGTGGTATTGTGATGATTTGAAGTATTTGAATTATAGTATGAATTAGTAATCCCAGAAACAACGCAATTTAATCAAGAAGTGTTAGATGAGCACGAACGAATGTGCTGTATTTAGAATTCAAAGTCAAACAGCCATCAATACAAGGGAATCATTGGTTCATATAAACCCCACAGGTATCCCAACAGAATAATTTGTCAATGTTAGTGAATTGGTCGAAGACAAATGGAAGAACTTTAAAGCTACAATCGAGTCCCTAAAAATACCGTTCACTGTCTTCCATGAATCAGTAGGGGAACCGGAAATCTGATGAGTGGTAAGAGATAGTTTCAGGACTTATTTCTGTCAACGGGCCACGAATCGTTGAATTATGAATAACAAAAATCGGGAATATAAGTAGAACGACTACAGCTAGAAGCCGCATCACTTACAACCTTACCTATCCAAAACGGTAGTTTTGTCTATCAAATGAAGAACAAAACTCAGTCATGAAACTCTATAAATTAATTTCCCAGAATTATTTCATCTTCATTACGTATATATGACCCATATTGTTATTTGATTATCCTTTGTAATTAAATGAGACTTCCATTACTGCACAAGCATTTATTATAGCGTTAAATATTACAGGAACAAAAGGACTTGAGGTTGACAGCAGGTCATGACTTAATACCGACTTCACTTTGCAATCCTTTAGCTGCTAAAAGTTTTCGAGTGTTGTGGTCACTCCGCCATACATCCAAATGCTCTGACGAGGATAAATTTTAGTTTTTATGATCTAAATGCGTAAGACCTCATTGAGAGTGATGCATTCAGGAAGCTGTTTCTGGTCTTACTAATAATGCTTACACATTCGAGTGTGTTCAATGTACAGATAAATACTTACCTTTGATTGTCCCATTGTTTACACACATTGGTTTAAGTTGTTTGGCGCGATCTCCGTAGGAAGTACTGATGAGTTCGATGATGGACGAATCCCAGGTCCCTATGACGGAGTATGAGCAGATTAAGTTCAAGATGAATCAGACGACTGACGAGGTTTGTTTATTCATTAAGCATTTTAACTACATAACTTTCAAGGAGTCGAAGACTTCGTACTTTATCCATCCTTTGCTATTTTTGTGGTTAAGTTCACAACGTAGCAGCAGGTTTCATATTATTACTCTTAATCAGTTTCTGAATATTTTCCAAGAGTGTATTTTCAGCCGCTTTGTTCACTTCCTTAGTATTTACGGTGGATGTAGTCTATCTTCTCAGTATTCTCTAGCAAGTCCCACATTCTCACTGAAATGTCTCGTGAATAAAAGTAGTGCTATTTGTAAGTGTGGAATTTCGCATTTACTAACCAAAAAAGACAAGAATTTTGAGTTGATTTGGTCCTATTTATATGTCCCATATAATAACTTCTGAGATCAGTTTCAGGAAAAGCTAGAAAAACGACTTTTTAAAGATACAAGTTGTTTGTATGAGATCGTGTCATGCTCTAATGCCTAATAATCCTAGCGTTGACTTATGATCTGGTATGTGCAGTCAAAAAGTGAGGCGAACTGTATGATCAATCAAGGAATTATAGATGGGATTTATTATCGTTATTATTATTTAAACAGCTGAATATTGACACAGGGAAGCACCAGATACATATGCGCCGCACAAATCTCATTCGATTTATGTGAGGGCTGTGATACCGTCCAGGTTCCCAAACGGAAGCAGGTCTTTTTCTCGAGGGCTCGCACCCGGAGCCTTTGACATAAAGGTCTGATCCATAAGGCAGTGGAGCATCGTAAGGAGATGCAGTCCCATGGTAGCCGGTGATCAACGATTGATTCATACGTCATTTGTTCTTTTAAGATACTGGAGCCCGTATGCACCATTGGTTTGGAATCAGGGTTTTCCAACTCCCCTAGGTGAACTTTCTGTGTCCACCGACCCGGTTAAAGCGCCGGACATTCGCTTTTCGTCCTCTCAATTTCGTAAACAACGCCCCGTCACGAGGAGGCAATGAGTAGGACTTCCCTGGTCGTTGTTGTATACGCGTGGCCATGTGAGAGCACTTCGAGAGGGAGAGCGGACTTTCCCCACTCAGCCGTACCAGGGTATTTGGGGGTATAATGTTTATTTTCCATAGACTTGTGTTTTCTAGGAAACAAGGTCCCTCTATGTTTTCACTTTAGTTAGCTGGGACAGATCATCATAATGTCAACGCTGAATATCTAGTTTGCATGTATGTTGTAATGACATGTTCGGAAATTCACCTTCACTTTCAAGGGACGAGTTATTCAGTTGTCGTTTGGGCTTCTAAGTAGTGTTGAGTCATAATTAGTTTAGACTTAGGTGGATTAGTTACCAACTTGAACTTTTAACTAAGCTAGGATGTCGAAATCACATTCGTGAAGGACTATTGCTAACCCCCTCTACACTTAATTTTGGTATCTGTTGTGATTAATCAGTGTGACGTTCAAATTAAGTGCACATGTATCAGATATGTTGCTGGTGACTTGACAGTGTGCACTAAACACAGACGTAAATGTGCCTTTGCTGCTCTACTTCAAGCAAATTTATGGTGTTTAGTTCGTTTAACAAAGATTAAGGTAAAACAATCGTAATCACTATTTTTATTACTATACTGCTTTGAAGTTTTATGTGAAGTCCAGAGTAGGATCAGTATGTATCATATAGAAGGGTCCTACCAGGAGTTCAAGATCGACTAGTGAGATAATACCTTCAAAACGCTGCGTAGCAAACTAGTAAGTCCTAACTAACGTCAGATGTATTATCAAATATAGAGGGTTATTCGATTGGTGATTCTTGGGCACAGTTATAGTCAATTTGAGTTGTCATATTTTGACCACTAAGACCGTATCTGCGTTGAACCTCTGGACCACAGTTTTCGTAACAGATATAATCAGTTCTCTAGAGGTAGTCAGTCATGAGCCATCTATTATTTTCATTTCGGAAAGGTATTTCCCTTGATTGTAACAGACTGACATCGTGACGGCTTCAAAGGTAATCCATATGGACTTATAGCATTCTGGTCTATAAATATAATTGCTCCTGTCTACTACTCTGCAATCAGCATATGGACACGAACATACTGACTGAGCGGAGTGAGTGCTGATTGCATTTTAAGACATCTGGTACGTGCGTTAGACCTGTGTGTTCATTTGTTCCTACTGGTTTTTACTGTCCAATGTATCGATAATTTGCACAAAGGCTTTGCAATCCTTCCAGCTAGTGTGGTTTCTAAACTAAAATCTTTAAAATCATGGTTGCTTGCTGCGCACATTGATTCTACCAACCATTAAGTAGTTTCATCGTTTTACTTGATTACAAATAGCAACTACAACGTGATTGCCCTCCGTTTGGTCTCTTATTGGTTGCAAGCACTACGAGTATCACAATTCATCAAATCCATCTTTTAGTTTTTTTGGTCTTGCTTGTTGGGTTTCTCTAAACGTTTTCTTACGAGTTCTGCGGTTTCTGATTTGTGGTCTAGCAACTCATTTTGATCCAGATATAAACACTTTATTTGTGTTAGTTCTCGAGCAAAGTTCCCAATATCACCAAGATTCTGACTACCACTTCACAAAACTGTCGACTTTTTTTATTACTAAAGGTTTCATGGTTTCAGAGTTTAATTTGTCCCGCACTTGTAGCCTGACTTTCAACTGCAATTTAGTAATTACAAAAAATTTAGTGTCATTTAAATAGTATACTGTTGCTTTTGGTAGTAGTATAAGTTTTTAAGCTGAAAATGTGGTTGTCTGTCTTCTTACATGTCTGTCATTTGTAGGTCGTTTGCTGATCCAATCACGGCTAAGTTTGCTTGTGGCCAAACACATTTAAAATGTCATGATAAGTCTTCCATAATTTAGTTTCTTAATATTTGATGAGAATAATGGTTGATTTGGTGATAATTGTGCCCTGTCTTTAATGGATTGTGGAATTTCTCGATACTTTATATTTCTGCATTACAATTAACGCCTGATATTTCCACCCCAAATTATGTAACTATTCATATTAAGTTAGCATTTTTCCTTACTCAACTTGGGTGTACTAACTGAGAAATGCCGCAAAAACCTCGCCATCCTGTTTGTGGATATGATGAAGTGCAGTTAGATGATGGAACTATCAGACCTATGACAGAAGTAGAGCTTCTTCAAAGGAAGATTGATGAAACAACCTCAGATGTAGGTATTCCATTCTTTTTCACAGTTGAACTCATGTTGTAAGTTATTATGTTTGCTTATTGCTTCATTGTTTCGGAAAATGTGTACAAGGAACCTAACAAAATAGCTAGTTTTCAAGTGTTCTTCAGTTTATATTGGTCTGTTTAATTTTATTTAAAAAGTCACAAATGATGTAGAATTAAATTTCACATGGTTCTTTCGTGGTCAAGCACTAATTATTTCATGTAATTTGATATTTCCTTCAAATGTTCCTACAAGCATTTTCGAAAGAAAAAGTTTTGGTATGGTGTAATTATACTAATGTACGCATTTTTATATTTCTTTGTCGGTTTGTTAAAACTCTTCTTATCTCTTTATGCGTTTCAATCCTTTTATTTTGACCCATTTTAGTCACTGGAAGCCTCTCGACGGATGATGGCTTTATGTGAGGAGGTGAGTCTTTTTACATCTATGATAATAATTGATCAAAGTTGAGAAAATGATATGCTAAATGTTTATGTAATATTTAGGCCAAAGAGGCAGGGATTTCTACACTGGTCATGTTAGATGATCAAGGCGGTAAGGTTACGCATATATGTTGTGACACAATTTGTAAATTTCATGTTGTAAAGTTGTTGTCTAAACTGGATATTAACTACATTCTGGATGTATTTTAGTTGAGAGGTAGTTTAAACATAATGTTGTGTCTTGTCCAAGATAACCTGGTGTGTATTATTAATAAAAAATTGTAAACTACACCACATATATATATACAATAGACTACAATTGTGTCCTTAAACTCAGATTCGTTCTCGGCATCTGTAATATTTTTTGATATCCAAATTTTCTTTGTACCTGTATTTAAGCATCGACACCCAACTGCCTTGTTTTGCTTACTAAGATACTATAAACTCATAGAAAGATTTTTAAAAATTTTCAGAACAATTGGATCGCATAAACGAGGGTATGGATCAGATTAATCAAGACATGAAGGATGCCGAGAAAAATCTGGATGATCTAAACAAATGCTGCGGACTTTGCGTATTGCCTTGGAACAAGTAAGTTTATCTGTCAGTATTCTTACTTACCAGATGTTATGCTGCTGTACACATTCCGAAGGTTTAGTGGAAATATGTGGATGACTAATTGACAATTTTCCCCTCGCTTAAGCTCAATTGTTGACGAGCAGTTTATTTGCTAACTAGAAAATGCAACTAAGGAGATAAATGGTGATCATGGAACTAGAGTTACACAAATTAATTCACATAAATACCCATGTTTTTGGGCGTCATAAGTTTGATGAAATCTTTGCTTGATAAAGGCAAACACTGACTACTAAGTTATGTACGTGAAAAATCGGTTATGTAACCGCTATTCTCTGGAATGCCTTTAGTTAACATAAAAACAAGAAATAAGACAGCATAATGAACATAATTTACTGTAATGCTTTAGAAATCCATTGGATGTGTTGTTACAAATAAGATAGGTACCGTCAAAGTTCTACGTGATGTTCCCCACAAGACTGATATCAAGATGCAGTCAAATCGAATAATACTGTACAGTAGATGTTATCGTTCAGTTATTCACTTCGTCGCGTGAATGACGTTACTTTGTAGTACTATATGATCTAGTTAATTTCCGTTAATTTCTGAGACGATTCTCGAACATATACGTAGCCATCATTCTACACCATTTGTTTGTGAAAATTGTTGTATCTCAGTGTAGTTAACCATAGTTATTTTATTCTTTGACGTTTCGCATGACTCGTAAAGTCATTTAAGTTATGGGTTATTCACTGTATATGACATAAAATCCAGCTTAACGATTTTATTAAAACTATTTAACTTTGTTCGTCAACGAATTTGGTGATAAATAATTATTGAACAAGTGTAAGCATAATATTTTCCAACTTTATTAAGTCAAATTAAATAATTCTTCAGAAGATACTTTTAACACTCAAAGCAATTGCGAAAGTTCAATGTCTCATCTTTGCGTATAAAAATTAAAAGCTAGTATAGAGTAAGTTGGATTTATTCTGTATTAGTAACCTCTATTTTGCACACATACTTTCAGTTTTAACGACTTTAAAACCCTTATAAGTAAGCTATAATTTACTCATTACGATATCTTTTAGAGTTAAAAAGAAAGATGATTATACCAAACAACTAAAGGATGAAGATATGCGGGGTGGGGACGGACCTCGAATAATTGTGGATCAAAATGGCATGGGTCCAACTGGTGGTTATATAACACGGTATGTTGTATATAAGGTTTCTAATGCACAATTGTAATTTTTGCTAATATTTATTAATCATCAAAGTTAAAATATCTAACCCGAGTCATAGAATTAGTTTGCGTTTTTACTTTTAGATGTATATGAGTTGAAGCTCGATTATTTGTAGAGGTTGATAATTAAGATGAATAATATTTAGTAGTGTTACTAGTTAAGTAATTGATAATTGTTTTCCTTAGTTGTACTTGAGAATAAACTTAGATCATTATGGATCCTATGCTATCTTTCCAGTCAACAAGGTGACAGGATATAAAACAGAATAGTGTTGCTCTTGCCATACAACTATCAAGTGGATTCATGAGAAGATATTGGGATAAAAAGTGTTTTGAGAAGTATCAGGATTTATCACATTCCCTTTAAAGTTAGTTTTTTTATCATCCACCTAGATTTAATCGTAGTTGAAAAAACTGAAGTAATCAGATTGAAATGGACACCAGTCAGTGAAACTATTGAAAAGAATGACTGCTGTATATGATTGTCGGTTGTTTCACTAGCCAATATCCCATAGCTTCGTCGGGCAGCATTTTGTATCCAGTGAGCTCCTATATTATGTTGAGGTTGTCCAAGTTTTAAATGAGTTGTACGAAGTTGCACACATGACAATAACCACCGGGGCTCAATATTGCTATCGATTGGGATTTTCAGTGATCATGTTTATGGATTATACGTTTGATTCAAGTGATTACCAATATATCGTGCCTTCTAAGCATGCACGAATTTACATAGGATGCCTTGTCAATCCAGTGAAATGCATTATTTTAGTTTCGTAATAAAATGTGCATTTACTTTATGTCGATCGGGCACTTTGATGTCAACATTATGGCCTAAAGTAACTTCACGTTTTTGATATAATTCCAAGTTTTATGAAATCTGTTTTTTGTTTTAGAATTACGAATGATGCACGAGAGGATGAAATGGATCAAAATTTGCAGGAGGTTTCTGGTATGATCGGAAATCTTCGTAACATGGCTATTGACATGGGTAGTGAAATTAACCAACAAAATGTTCAGGTTGAGCGAATACAGATCAAGGTACGTAGTTTTCTTGTTATTTTCGCATTCATTTTTTTCCCCAGTTTGCTTGGCTTTTGTTTGTGTACGAAATTGGTTACCTTATTGAAGTGATCTATAGCGTCAAGATTCAAGTGGTTATAGAGATCTATCACCCGACTTTTGAAGACTGAACTGTAAATTCTAGCCTAATAGTACTTATTTACAGCTCAAGTGCTTGGTAGGATGTCTTTAGGGAAGTGTCCCACGCAAAACAAAATGACAGTGTAATGAGGGAATAGGAGATAGCGAGAAAGGTAGACGATGAATGACACAGTTAGGGTAAGAACATAACTAAGTTTGATTCACTTGTTGTTTTTAAATATTCTTATTTTTACCTATTTATTTGAACACATAAATATTGGTAAAAGGGGACACCAGATACATATGCGCCGCACAGATCTCATTCGATTTGTGTGAGGGCTGTGATACCGTCCAGGTGCTTAAACTGAAGCAGGTGTCATGTCCCATAAAATTGATGCACTCCGAAGAAATCTTGTTTATCTCACTTTCTGCAAATTTTTCAAATAAATCATTGCCATACACAAAAAGTCATTGCCATCTAGTTTTTAAATAAAATGTGTGTGACTGACCCTCTATCGTCACGTCATGGCGTGGATTAGTTCCTAACCACGACTGCTGGTTTTATACTTTTTTCCCCAGTAATCTTAAGACCGGATACTCGGTCTACACATTTTGTCAACAGATATTAAGTTTGTTTTCCATGTTTTATTTGTCTAAAATTTACTTTAATGCGTTTTATTTTAGGCTAAGTCAAATGCTGAACGAATTAAAAAGGCTAATGAACAAGCTAGTAAATTGTTAAAATAAGTTACATGGATTCGTTGAGTTTTCATCAGAATATTGACTGATGGAGAAATCCTTCAATTCCTGGTAAATGACTTCGAATACAGACTTTTCAGTCACTTCCGTGTGCATACGTGAAGCTTTTTTGCAATAATGCTTCACCAAGACCCTTATATTTTCATCTATTTTGTTTATATATTTATCGCAAATCAATTCAAAGGGAGTTTGTGAGGTTTGGAGCTGAAAATTTTTGTTTTCGTTGATGCCTCTTACCTTACAGACATTAAATTTTTATCATTCTCATATACTTGTTTATGTTTTCGATTTATTTCGTTCTGTAAAGTCATTAGTTTCCTCTTTTTTAAACAGCCTTTTTCCGAATTATCCTTGCCAAAATTATTATTCGCTATTGTTTTCCTCCTTTCATCTTGGTTCCTCTCAAAGTTGATACTCAATACATCGATTATATCATCAGAACTACTCATCTCACTATCTATTCTTTTAAGTCCAGTTAAAGAGTTGTTATCTGCTCATATATTAAGGCCTATTCTCTTGTCAGCTGTGCTCTCATATTTACTAAAATTTATGATTACTAACTACTATTGATTTATTGAACTACTATACTAGTAATACTGAGTTAAAAAAGACTAACAGTGATTTTACTAATATTCTCGCCATCCTAAAATCAGTTCACTTTTCCTTTGATTTATGCTTCTTTTTTCTAACATACTTTTACGAGATGTCATTTTTTTTCCGACCAACTAATTATCAATATGAAATATAATGCGAATTTGATTTATAAATCATGTAAATCCGGTTGCGTTATTCTCATTCATCAGTCGCGTATTTTAAAAAAAGTCTCATCTCTTCCTAAGCCAAATCCTGGGGATCCTGTATTTAGTTCTTTTGCGAATGGGTCTAATTGAACCCTAGTTTATTTTGCGCTTCTAGAAAGATAAAGTCGTTTGTAATGAGTCACTTATTTCTGATTTAAATTTTCAAATTTTCATAGAATATTTAGGGACAAAGAGTATTGAAGCAAACAATAAATCTGAATAAATTCGTAACCAGCCTCTACCATTATATATCCATGAACCCTCATTCTGACTATAATTATTGTATTAAAATGACCAAGATGAAGGGTTCTAATAGACTAGACAACGTAGTGTTTGAAAAAAAGGTGAAGTTCCGCATCTGTTAAAGTTCAAATACTTCACAAATGCATCAATTTCAAATCGATAAGATCACTTAAAATTTGTTGTCAGGTATCTAGTTACAATCAATTTGATAAAACAACTTATTTGAGTAAAATAAATGGTAGGAAAAGTTTTGTTTAGGTAATTGAGATAATAACGATTATGGCAATAATACGATGTGTGATAACGGATACATTGTTTGGGACTTGATATACACAACTGAGAGAGGCAAATCTACTATAGCAGCCCCACTCTAATTCTCCAATATTTCAGTGTGTGATAGCTTGGAAAGTGTTCACAAAATGACCATGAGTTTATCATATAGTTAGTGTACATAATTAAATAGTTAAAACGAAGAAATCAACTGCAATATTGACAAACTATAAAGTATGGGACTAAGAGGTTTGACCTGGTTAGTCATTAGCTTGAAAACAGTTGAGTAACGCCTATAATGCTTCCCGTTTCATAAACTATTTATTGTAACTGCATGATATTTCTACTGCAAACTAATACTAATAAGAAAAATTGTGAGACTTGGCCTCAAATATTTTCAAAACATAATCAACAGTTTTTTTCTCATAAATTATTTCATTAATTTATTTCGGATAATAAAACTGAAACAAAAAAACACAAAATGGGCTATGGTAGAAGTGCAAAAAAAAACAAGAACAGAGCTAATTAGCCTACGGTTATACCTATTTATCCATCTGCTTATCTACATATCTCTCTACCATCCACCAATAATATTTCTACTTTTCCTTGTATTACAAAATATTTCTATTTTCATGTTTATTTTATTTGTTTAGACCTATAAAACAAATTTTTTTGTTGTTTTGACCCTAAAGTAGGATGACAAACAACAACGAAAAAAAATAATAACAATAATGATCTATGACTTGATAGTATATTGTAAAGAATATTGCTATAAAATAATGATTTAAGGACAGACTTATATTGATTAAATTAAGTAATATCAGAAATAAATAAATAGTAGTATTTTCATTTGATAAAATGCCGATAAATAAGATTTGATAATCAATTTAAATGTTACTAATGACTAGGCGGTTAGAAACACATCTAGTTTATAGAAAAGAAATTTAATGGTTTCAAACAGTGGAAATTAAATTGAGTTTAGTGAATTTATTTATTTATTTAATTTCCTAAACCAAAATTAATATTTCTCAATAAAATTCATCGATGTTATGAATGATGAATTAGGTAATAATGGTATAATGAATAAGGATAATTTTAGTGTTAAGAAAAAAATTAATTGTAAACAACATGTTTGATTATTGTTATTGTCAATCATGGAATCTAATTGATTTGGTCAATACCATTCATGTTGAAATATGTTATCAGAGTGCTACAGATCAAATTGGTTATATTCTTAGAAATCCTACGCAATCAATTTGATATGCTTGATGCTAATTACGATTTCTTCGGTAAACGAACGAAGGTCAATGACACAGTGACACGATAGGCTATTCTAATCCATTGTCCATTGTTCTTTTCATAGATTGAAAAGATAAACATATCTTTTGAATTACGAGTTTTATAAATTATTTTAAACTAGAAATACGATCAATTAATTTGCGATCGCTTGGTTTTATCCTTAATTGCAATGTCTAGTTGGTTGGTTTTGTTCTCTAAAATAATTTTTAACTATTGCGGCGAGGCTTGATAAAAGAAAACAAATTTAAGATTATAGGTATTATGAAAAATTATTCAAATTTTATTATTACACTTGTTTTTTTATAAACATTAGATTCATTTATCAATCAACTGGTTAATAGATTAATGAAGAAATTCAACTAAGCAGTACATTTAATCATACTTATTATTGCTGATGGTGTAGAAAAGCGAAATGATCAGAAGAACGGGAAAAGTAATAATATACAAAGAATTATTCTGATGTTATGTTTGTATTTTTTTAACTGTAATGATCTGTTTGATTGTTTATCACTAATGTAATATCGGTTTTGACTGGACAAAGACAGAGATATCCATTAATTTCGGATTTTTGCATACGTTCCGCATTAAAGCGATTCGATACAAGAAGAGTTGAATCAATCTGTTAAAGATCAAAAGATTTTCTACTAGGTAAACTAATGACTAATGGGAATATTTCATCAATGTAGTATATTCATAAATAATATTTCTTTATTTAAACACATAAATACTGGTACAAGGAGGCACCAAATATATATGTGCCACACAAATCATTTGGTTTGTGTAAAGTCTATGATCCTACCCGGGCTCCCAAACCAAAACAGGTGATTTTTTTGGGGTGCACTCTCCGAGCCTTTGACCTAAAGGTCTAGTCCATTGGTTTGATAATTTGTTTGCTCAAATGATTTTGTAAAATAAAACTTGAATTTATGTTGGTTTGAGTTATCTCAAAGGATATTTTGCGTTTCTATTGAAAAAGCGAAACATATATGTTTTTTTTTGACTACCAAGAATTATGGTTTTGCTACAGTTTGTATGAAGATTAATATCACAATATAGTCCTAAATAGGCAGCCTCATTTGCAACGAAAACAGGTAAGAAGGAAATTATGTAGAGCACTTGAAGACTGATAATAAGGTGGTTGGATAACAGCACAAAGTAATCTTTTTTATTGGTTTGTGATCGAATCAGTCGGAAGCATCATGAATTAATACTTAAGAACATGCGGTTGTAATAAATAAACGATAATCCAAACCGTTAATTAATACCAGAAACTTTATGCAATACCTTGTTCTGCCTAATGCTAATTATAATTACGAATAAGTGTAGCTAAATAATGCCAACAATTTGTGATCAAAATATGATAAGATACCATAAATATTGCTATATTCAGTTAACCATCCAATTTTTAGTGATTCAGATGTTCTAGTATACAGTGAAAATTCTTATAAGGATTTACATGCATAAACTTTAACATTTTATCACTGCACACTTCAATTTCAGATATACAGGTCTGCTTGTTGAATAGTCCCCGTAAAAACATCCTAAACTGCTTATTGAATATTATCCGTATACAGCTGACTTAAAAGTTCGTCAGTAAGCTTAAATAATAGTTTTTTTAAAAATAACCGTACAACAAGTACGGTTAGGTCATAAATTCATTTTATTTTTCTACTGGTATTGAATAAATCTCTGGTAATGGAATTTGTGATAGGACAGTAATGTTAAATCTATTTAAAAAGTGCATGCATAGAATTGGTTTTAAATAAATAGTTTAGTAAACATACGTAGTTGGAAGTTGTTCGGTTTTTTTGCTAAAACACTGAACAGTTCGGGAATATCACACTGAAAAATGAAATCTGTGATATTCTCCTCTTAAGAATCTGGCATTATAAACTGCTAACAGTTCAATCGATATGGGAATTTTCGGTCACATCATGGAGTATGGTGTATGGTTTGTACTATAAATTGTTTCAAGTCTTGATATTCATTTGGTTCTGGTAGGAATTCCTTTTAAAGATATAAGTTTTCCCTTTAGAAAATACCTATTCAATCAAATGTACAAGTGATATATTAACACGTTGATTTTAGCCTTATCATATCTAGACAAATGTTTGGGAAGATACAAGTAAACAACACCAAGTGAATTTAAATGTTTGCTTAATTTCCTTTTTAGCTTGTTTAAGTGGGTTATATTCTTTTAATATTTTGTCATATTGTTTTGTAAAAATATAAAAAAAGTTTCGTAATGATTAACTCAGAATAAGTATTTTTATTCTATTCGATTTATTTCAAATTTAATGCATCAGAAAATAAAAAATCCGTATATATTTAATGAGAGTCCAAGTTAAAGAATTGTGACTGGCTCCATGAGGTATTTCCTGGAGTTCTAGTGAGAAGCAGTAACCAGTGGAGTTCAACCAGGTCTGTTGGGATATATCAACTCACTGATGACATTGGTGAATGGTTGTTCAATTCTGTGGATTGGTTGAAGTCAGACATTAACACCGTTAGATGCCGGCTCAGTGGTCTAGTTGTTAGGCACTCGTGCGTGAGACTGATAGGTCCTGGGTTCGAAGCTCGCGAGGCGGGATCGTGGATGCGCGCTTCTGAGGAGTCCCACAGTAGGACGAAACGGCCGTCCAGTGCTTCACGTTTTTCCATGTTGGTCTAGCTTCCATTGACTCATGATCTGAACTATATAAAATTACTAAAATTCTCCACAAAACCCCCTTCTGATTATTGTGAGTTATATCAAATTGTCAATTATCTTATATGTTCACATCAAAGAAATTTAACTCATTCATTTTAAATTGAAGTATGAAAACTCATTTTGGGAAAAGTTATTCTTTTTAAGATAATTTCTTCATTGAATTTGTTCACTTTTTGATGAATTTTTTCAGTTATGTTTTTTTAAACTGCTATATGATGAGTTGATATTTTTTTATGTGATGTCTTAATGATAGCAAAAACTAAGTGATTCGTTTATTTAATGTAATTATCTGGTATAAAGGATTAATTTGCTTATAAGTAAAAATGACTTAATTTTACTTATATTATACTAGTTATAATAGTCAATATAGTTTAGACTTTGAGAGAGATTACGTGATCACCTAAAATCAGCAAACGGGACGAAGTATCAGCAATACAACGACAAGACAAGGTAAATTATTCTAATGCGTTCCATCCTTAATAACTAGAGGGAGAAGCATATTCCACAAGCATCCAGAAACACGAACGAACCAAATACACAACTCAAGAGTATATATACAGTATAAAAATATCCTTGGGAAACGTTGTAGTGCCGTGCTTCGATCATAGTTCGCTTCGATAACCGTTATTAATACCAATCTTAACGGTGTATAATATCAGAAGGCAAAGGGAAGCGGCAACTACATTTTTATTGATAACTAACATGGGCTAGAAGGCAGTAAGCACATGAGCAACTGTAAGCAAGCGAAGCAAAGATGATGCGTATTGGAGATGGCTGGGAAGCCAACTCATTTTAAGCAAGCGTTAACTAACATTTATAGGCAGGCAAAAATGAGTGACAGACATATGATGAATAAGATACGAAGTGTACACATATGCGCTCATATAAAAAGTACTCAAGGTTAATAAGCAAATGATTAACAAGATCAAAAGATGACTCAATGTACAGGTGAATTGGCTTGGCCAGTAACTAGAATAAAGTATATGGGCCTAACATATGAACTGGTACTACATAGCCCCCTTGTAGAAAATAGCACATTTATAAAAAAATGTCTGTTTTCGAAAAATAACACTGAAGCGGTATGAGGATAACGTCAATTTAACATGAATTTATGTAGTGACTGTCCGAATGATAAAATAACATGTTCGTATGAGCGATTTGAAATATAGTGAAAATAGAGTATAACAGTAATTGCTCTGTGGTGCTGATTGAATATGAGGATAAATAACAGTGAAATATGTTCTGATAAGCTGCAGTCGAGTAAATAGAGTCGATTGGCGATGAGTGGATTCGAATTTACACGATTGGAGTTTACGTGGGATAAAAAATAATCCAGCCGTAGGATGATGACTGCATCAGCGGTTGATATTCATTGCTGTACTGCTACTGATAATGATAATAAAATGCGAAGTCAGCGTATGTTACCGTTTGCGTCGAGTTATCGTTAAATATGTATTAGTAGAATGACCAAAGGAACAGGATAGTGACTGCTGAGACGAGATATGCGGAGTCGTATTCCTTTTTGGTCATGAAGCCTATCGTGGTTTGTGTAGTTAGAGGGATATGCGCTCAACCTCGTTTGTTACGAAACCGTATTAAGGCATAACAAAAATACCAATACATATGATTATTGATGGCGGCAAGTGAGGCTGACTTGGATGTGACGAACAAGAGTGTATCCTTGAGAGACTAGCTCTAAACTCTATGTTCTGGCGTACAGTGCATTGAGAATAGAATATTAATCGTAGTAATCGAATTGTGATTATCGGTGATGGATGATGCAGCATTCAGATATACATGTGAATGAATAAATAATATGAACATAATCATTACTAATCGGCTGGTAATGCGGCGTCGAATACTCGATTTGTTCACAGATACTAAACTGGGGACCATCGTGAAACCAAAATTGCGGAAGTTCGGTTTAGATTGTCGCTGAAAATGTAGGAAACGACGGTTGCTGCGTACCAATGAAATGAATGAACATTAGTTGTCTATCGAGAACATAAGTTACTACTATCGGGAGTGTGACTCCAAACTTATGTCTATGATAGAGTGTAATATTAAGCCGAAAATGACATGAAAAAATTGGAACGAACTCACTTGAATCAGGAAAATTGTACGTCATTGGATTATAAAAATAATCCAGTGAGTTTCGAATATGATAGCGTGTAATGTCCAAATAATTATAATTTGTTCGATTAGTGATTTGTCTGCGTATATGTCATAGTTCAATGTTAATACGAACAAAATAATAATTCCACGTTAGATGATGATATGACATTATTGTAATAATGAGCGTATGATGATTATTAGAATTAACGAAATATGTCGTCGGCGGTTTCATTTTTGATTTGTGTTCACTCGTTGCGGTTGCCGATTCTGTCGCGTGTTCCAAATACGGCGTGCCAATTATGTTGTGAGTTCGTACGTCGAGGTTGTCGATTCTGGTCGATGTTCGTTCGGCGAGACATCCAATTATGTTTTCGCGTTCGTAAGTCGGGATCGCTAATTGTGTTGCGTGTTCGTACGTCGGGATTACCAGTTTTGTAGTGCCGTGCTTCGATCATAGTTCGCTTCGATAACCGTTATTAATACCAATCTTAACGGTGTATAATATCAGAAGGCAAAGGGAA